CTATAATCTTCCCCTGCATCAGTATGTTATCGACATTTTCGATATACTAATTTTGAATGGCCTACTTTAACAAGTCGTAATATTTGCTACGATTGATTGTTTCGTACGCCATTAACGACGTAAAAAACTAGATTGTGAGCACTTTAAAATGATATTAAAAATGCAATATTTCGATTTCGTTTCACAACACATAATGATTTCGAAAATTAAAACAAAAACATAGGAAAAAAATAAAGCCAGGCCACCCTGGGTCCGCCCTGCACACAATACATGTGTTTAATACTGCAAATTAAATAAACTAAATATATTTTACCTCTCTTCTTGACTATGATCTCCTAGGATGCAAACTTTATATTGAAAAGTCACATAGTTATTTCAAAAGTTTAATATCTAGAAGTTCAAAAATGTACCTACACTGAAAAATTGGAAAAAAAAGCTGAGGATGAAGAAATGAGATGTCGACATTTTGCATTCCTCGCAAATCTAGGAATTTAGTTGGAGGAGGTTGAACTGCGTTTAATTGACATGTTACCGTCGAACATCAACACACTCTCAAAATAAATTGAAGATGTCACGTAGTGTATTTATTTTTTTATGGTCGGACTCGACAGGTTTATATTTTTTCCCTAGAAGACACTCTTTAAGCCAAGCTCGCAGCCATGCAAGAGTTAATATTATTATTATTATTATTTTAATTAAAAAAAAAAAAAAAACTTCCAAGATATTTACATTGGGATCCCTACCCTGCCCACCTCTTGAACAGGTTTGAATTGAATTCTCTTTTCCACAAACACAACACAATTATGGCAGTAATCACAGCAATCAATTTGGTGAGTCAGTCACGCTCAAAAGTAGGTGAAAAGCAACAGAAAAACTATTACATTACCTCTCCACCGAATCCCCACACCCACTTCACCTACTCGCATAAAAAAGTAACGGAGAGAGTGAAAACGGCAGCTCTGGTTTGTCGCTGATTGATGATCAGAGCCGAGCCGAGTCGATTC